ACACACACACACACACCTTACCTTCACCTATTACAATTAAACGCCTTAATTTCATCCTACCTTAAAAACTATTTCTTATTCCTCATAATTCCCCCCTGACCCACAAAGTGTCCCCACAACAAGAGTTTTCCCCCAAAAATGTCCCCCAAAGTATAGCTATACCAGACACACACACACACACAGCTGAGAGTATATCTATAGGTGGGGGAGGGTACGCAGGAACAGGGGTTATAGAGTAGGATGGGGTGGAGGGTGATGGGGGAGGTTGAGGACTGTTGACAATGTTCTCCTGGTCTGTGTAACCCCTGTCTCCCTCCCTCCGTCCCTCCTCCCCTCAGCCTCGGCTCAGCAGTCCCAGCAGGAGCCACTCCAGCCTGGGGAGAGAGTCCTTCCGGGCAGTGGGGGCTCCAGAGAGATGGGTGGGGGGGCCACGGAGGGGGGAGAGAGAGGCACACGCGACATGGGCCACTTCAGAATGGCATCACATGATCCATTTGAAAGGAGGAGCTGACAGGGAGCTGACAGTGATCATCTGTTCCGTCCGTCCATTATGTCAGACAGAGTGAAGTGACAGGAAGACGACGTCTTCAAAATCCACCGGATCCAGCGCTCATTGTTTGCAGCCAATGTAGCAGAAATAGCCACAGGAGTCCCAGACAGGACCGGGCTAAGTTGTTCTGAAATAGCTCCCATCTAACGTGATTGTCACTTTTCCCACTTCTAATTGCTCTAAGAGTCGATTCGTCTGAAATCCGGAGCTATAACATGATTTTTCCTCCAAAGCAGCCTATGCATTTCCTCCTAATGATGCCTCTGAGGTGCATTTTACCATGTTATAATTAAGTGGCCCTCGGCCCTGCTCCCTGACGCTGCTTCTTGTTTTCACCTCTCCCAAATAGCTCATTTCATTCAGCTGGTGTTCCAGGTCTAAATCAACCACTGATTACATGAGAAAAATAAAAACCAGCATGGGCTCTGCAGCCGAGAGAACCAGAAATGAGAACACTCCGATGTTCCCGGCAAAATGCAAATGAGATCATTTAAAAAAAAAACAAGTTTGATGGTGTTTTCACAAACTTATTTGCAGGTGAGTCAAAGCACGGGTGAGGAACGGGAGGCAGCGTCAGCCTGTGAGCAGCACATGTTCAGAAATGTGGGCACTTGTGTGGAAGTGATGATAATGACGCTGTAATAAGAATCTATTAGTGGCTGAGTTTTTGCATGCCTAATAATTAGATTAATTGAATGACACTCATTTAGACAGAATGAAGGGCCCAGTGGTGGTTAATTCAACCTGTGTTTCCAGATGCTCATTTCTAAACAGCTAAGTGAACCTAATCATAGCCCACCATCTGGGATTTCCCCTCCAGGGCAGAAGTAGGGGATGCACCGGAATATGTTTTAAAGACATCGACATCGTGCTGGAATTAAACCGCGTTGGAGCTGCTGTTTAACCTCTCCAGTTAACAAATTATTAACTCCATGTTCATCTAGGACATGCTAATGCTAATTTCCGTCCTTTATATGAAAGTAAATAAGGTCATTATGGCTGTGTTAATGATAAGCATGTCTCACAGGTGTAGTTCTGTGGCAGTAATGCTCTGAGACTGCGTTCCTTAAATAATAATAAATAATAAAAAAAACCCTCCCTCAGTGCCATGCCAACAAAGATGGGAGACTGACTAATTTATCCCCAAATTTGCACCATGTACAAAAAATCATGCAAATGAACTGGGTCCTCAATCGGAAGACACAGCATTTGGATGACATTAATCAAAGAGAAAATATGCAGACAAAGGTGACAGTGATCCCAGTACTGGTGCATAAGTGGCACAGCTGTGGTTTCACTCACTGTACGGCAGTGTGCCCTCACGGACAGGAGCAGGAATTGAAAATTCTATACATTACAAAGTCACTTCCTCTCATTAGTTTTCTTTTTTAGCTCTCGGTGATCTTTTTTTTTTTTTTTTTCACAGTATAGTGCTCATACCGTCCAATTACAGTGATGTGGTTACGAGTATCTTTTGGATTTTCCATTATCACTTAAAAAGCAGAAGAAAAAAGAAAAAAAAATTCCTCTTCTTCTTTTCGATGAGATGTAGGAAAGTTTGTTCCCAGAAAGAAAAAAGAAATGTTTGTGTCTGAGCTGAGATGAGAAGGACTTGACACAAGTTCAAGGATTTGAAATAAATCAGAAACGTGGAGACACGTGTGTCAGGATGGACGGCGTTCTTCCACTCTGGTTGACGATGACTGATAGTCGACGTGGTGATCGTAATTATCTCCCACTGCCTCCCGCTCTGTACACATGTGCATCTTCATTAGCTCAGTCACTCCCTACACATAAGTACACGGCCACGTTCAATGCTTTGAAGTGTGAAATTTCCACCAACAGTTGTCTATTCATCCTCGCTCGCCGTGGTGGCACAGGCGCACACTGCTGCAGCCTGAGCTCACCTAAGCTCTCCGCTGAGTTGTAGTGCAACGCAGCCTAATCCCCCAACAGAGCCGTCAAGCCAGCCTGCAAACAGAGCTCTCCGCTGGCTCTCTCTGCGTGGAGGGAACAAACCAACACCATAACAAAGGGTGTTTATGGAAAAATAGATGCTGGAGCAGCCGACCAGAAAGGGCTTAGCAGTGATCAGACCCCACTCCCACCTTTATCCTTCACCGTTCACATTGAAATGCAAATATCAAGGCAGGGTTTCCACCCGCGTGCCACTCACAAATTGAAAAGCAGTTTTTATCTATGCAAATGCAAGCATGGTAATTGAAGTTAATCAATCAATGCTAGCTTTCACTAAAACCTTGAACATGATTGAATAAAGTAATTATCATTCAGGAGAAAATGATGAAGTTGTAGACAGCATGAACCTTATTAAAGGAGGATTTTGAGTCACAATGGCTTAATTTAGCCAGCAGCCCCCTCTGTGTCTTCTTCCTCTTCTTCCTCTTCTTCTCCCCTCTGTCTGTCTCTCTCTCAACATCTCCTCACTCCTCACCTCATCCCTCCTCTGACTGCTCCGCGGTTCAATCTTGTGTGAAGCAGAACGGCTCACAGCTAAGAATATTATAAGGCGGCGTGAAATGTGCTCAGGTTAGACCACACGTGGTACATGACATCGCTCCTGATAGAAGAATTTATTACAGATTTTCGCAGTGTCTCTCTGCACCGCTGTCTCACATTTCGTGCTCTCTCAAAGTCTTGACACTCCATCAATGTCACCGTGGGCCCCCCGTGTTTTTATTATGATATTCAAATAAGAATCGGAACGGACACCGGTGTGACAACAAATTTAAAAAAAACAACAACCCTAAAAACAATAACCCTAAAACTGCATCCTGTCCCATCACAAAGTCATATTTATTATTTACACTAGTGAGTCTTTCTGCGACCTGATCCTCCCCCTCCCCCCATGGACATTACGATAACTAACTTTCGAATGTTTGTGACAGATTTTAACTGGATCACAGCTGTTTCCCTCATCTATTATTATACCACAACAACTAACTTAGGACCTAAATGAACTTCCCTCATCTATTATTATACCACAACAATGAACTAACTTAGGACCTAAATGAACCGAGGATTTCTTTTGTAAATCTAAGTAAGGGAAAAAAATTAAAAACACAGAGAGAGGGTAGTGAGCAACTGTACACAGCTGGTGGAGTAAGGGAAAAAAATTAAAAACACAGACAGAGGGCAGTGAGACTGTACACAGCTGGTGGCTTACTACTACTACTACTATTATTATTATTATTATTATTATTATTATTATTATTACACAACAAACAGTTTTGTAAATATTTAGAAATTTGAATTAGAAATTAATGAATTCATTAACTTAACACCCATATTATATTTTTAGCTAATGTGATTCCAAATGGACAAATTAATTTTATTCTATTGGAAATAAAGCACTGAAGAAGAAACTTGTTGCTTATTTCCACCTCACAGCTTTGGCACAAATGACTTTTCATGATCAGACAGTAGAACAACTGGATTCAATGGTAATATAGAAATATGAAAAAAAAAAAAAACCCTTTATAGTTTCTTCTCACTGACCGATTCCGAGGCCTTTCTCTGATTCACACGTGCTCTAACTGCTCTTTGAGGCTAAAGTGACACTTGTACATAATTGTTGAGGTTGGGGACAAAAAGAGAGACATCAGTGTCAACCATTTTCACAGGATGCCCTCCCCAGCTTTCACCTGTCAGCCAAGATGGTGGTAATTGAGACTTGCAGGGAGCTGTGGTTGGCCACCTCACCGCGGCTCTCTCCCCGTGGCAGGGCTAGTTAAAGGCCTCTGCGGTTTGTCACAGAGTTTAATATGCACCCTACATAATTATGCAGGATTCACAGTGCTATCAAACTGCAATTCAAATTAGTTCAGGATTAAAGGCACAGAACAGTACTGGTTCCTTAATTGCATTGTACTGTGCTGATCACATTCAAATACCCATTACTCATTCCCTCTGCGGAGCAATAAGTCAGAGGGATTAATACTGAGGCAGGTGACAGGGCCAAGCCATTAAAAGGCAGTTATGCAGAAAGCATGGCTGGTTTTATTCACGTTAATGAAATCAGCGAAATGAAACTGTAATAGATTTATCAAAGCTCAGATGGATTTGCAGTAAATCAGTTTGATTCAGGCAATCAAACTGGACAATGGAGATAGTTTTCAGCGACGGCACTGGATATCAGGCAGCAGCATGTGAGCAGTGCTGATATTCTTCTTGGGAGGATTTGGTGAACACCCGGTGCCTAGGCCCTATTCCCAGAGCTGGGTGGCTCATTTTTGTCAGCTAAATGGTGCCAGTGACTGATAAAACATACTGTCTTCCAGTTAAACACCATCTTCACCCTCCTCCCCCTCTCCCCCGTCCTCTCTCATCCCACACTCTGTCTCTGCCTCCTCTTGAAGTTATGGACCGTGTGTTGCTGATTCTGGATTGTTATACAGTGCGAGCCCATGAATTAGAACCAAAATTCACTTACATCAAACAGATTAGCGTTGAAATCCAGCCGCCTGAGCTCGTCTCACGGCACCGGGGGCTCCCAGACGCCGTCCTGCACAGGACGCTGCAAACTACGGACACAAATCATATAGATTCAGCAAAAAAAAAAGGGGGAAGGAAAATAATCTTCAATTATTCAGGAAGTCATCTGTGTTAATTTGGTGGAAAAGCAGTATTATAGATATACAGGAATATTCATCAGTACACAGTAAGTGAAACCGTGATTATAGACTAATCAGTACAAGTTAAAACTGCAGTTTTTTTTACCATATTATAAAAACATGAGCCAATTGTAAACGCTAACAGATAAACTGCCATAGTCTTAGATGTTCCAAAAAACCCCCCAAAAAACCCAAAACAAACAAACAACAAAAACAAATGAAAAACTTTCACTAAATTTCTACCGTATATATTTATCAGTTTATTCTGGCCTACTGATGTAACTGCTCCAAAATGTAAGCTTCAACAACAGAGTGTTCAGCAAAAATATAAGCAATAGATCATGTTGCATAGCACTGGTAAGGACATTTTGAGCATGTGAATCTAAAAATGATACAGAATATCTAGGTGAGGCTTACGATTAAACGTAATAACATACATTTCTCTATCTGCCATACTTGGTAATCTTGAACTATAGAACTTTGTTAAAAATGTAATGCAACCTGTGTGTGTTTTTCATTTCTGGACCAGTTTAGGTGGATGTTCTTTTTGCCGATGAGGTCAGCTGATGTTAGGACTTTGTAAATAAATTCTCTTGGTTTTCCTTCTTTTCACAGAGTTGAAGCCACACCAGGTGAATAAGTGACATTTCTCCCTGTGTTGCACACACAAACGCACGCACAAACGCATTCCCAAGGCATTCATGTAGACTTCCACCAGCCATGCCATTTATTTCCAGACCTGCCTGATACCTTTTCAGTGTAAAAATGGTTAAATGACCTGAGCTCAGATGACATTATTTTTAAATGTGTTCTTAATGAGTCGTCCACTGTACAGTATAAATTCCAATTACATCCAATTAACCCCAATCAGAAGCACCTCGTCTCCGGACCCTTTTTTATTTAATGGTTCGCTGCGGTTTCAACCATTGATTAGGCTGAATGAGCAGCACCACTAAATGACCGCCTTGAAGGAGACGGGAGCTGTTAGCCTTAATAGACACAGCACGGCCATTACACCTCCGTGTGCTCGGTCCACCTTCTTTAACAGATCAACTTCCACACCGCAGCCTGACCACCTCTGTCCAGGTTGATTTCGACTTTAGCCCATTTGCTGCGAAGGAAAATGTTAAGTAGAAACCTCCCATCCATGAAGAGCAGCCCATTATTTTCTAATTACGATGCATTTAGGTCCTCCAGCATGCATGATTATACACACTGCCATTTCCATGTGTACACAAAGGAGTTTTTTTCTGAGGCAATTTTGAAGCCAAATGGCAAAATGTGAGCGACCTCTTGTCCTTATGTGTTTTACTAAAAATAGACTGGAAGGAAAAAGAAAGTAAAAAAAAAAACAAAACAGGAAGTTGAGGCCGACATAACCCGGACGCTGAAATGTGTTTTAATGGGAAGTCAGAGTGATCACACCAGCTGGCTTTGGTCAGGATCAGGACGAGGGTCTGTACTACATGTGGACAATGAAGATTAGAAATAAAGGCGTAAAGCCACTCTACCCAGAATCCTCCAGTGCTGTAACTGGCAGCAGACGCGTGGATAAGCCCTCCCACACACTCAGTCTTGAGAAATTCCCTATTTATGCTTTTGAGGAGTTAGCGTCGCAGCATCCCACGTGGCCAGACACAACAATCTGTAGATTAAACTGTACACAAAAATACTGTATGTGTTCAAACGCTGTGGCTTTAAGTGTTTTATTAGAAGATTCAATATACAATTCCCTAATAATCTGAGATTTGTGACGGAAAAAAACAACAACAACAGTTTCTTCAAAGAACGCGTTCACACTAGACATGGATTAAAGCTGAAGATAACTCCGACGGCACAATGAGTCTGTGAACAAGTCTTCATATACAATGGTCAGAGCCACAGGCAAACATAGGAGGCCTCCACTGTGACAGTGGGCCTAACAAAATAATTGCTTTATTTATAGATGCTGTGAAATTAAGCAGACTTAAAAGCCCGGGACAGTGGGGTTTAATCAACTCCCTTGATTCATGCTAACAATTCATACTGCGACGGAAAGCAGAGTGCATTAAATACATTCCCTTATTACTCTATAAATGCAAGTGGCCGAGCAGACAAAACGCCCCGCGATAAATTAATAGCAATAAAAACACCAACTGTGTGGACAGATAGAGAAATTAAAAAGCCGGCGTCAAATACAACAATGCATTCAGCTTCATAAAGTACGGGAGGATAACATTTCTGGGAACCAATCAGGGGCCTTTTTGGACTGCAGGGAATTTAAAGACGTTTGGTGTGAGCTGCGTCTCATTCCGAATGAAGTGGTGAGGATTGTTGTGAAGGAGAAGCTACGGCTCTCTTTGAAATGAAGGAAGAATGGTAGAAATAAATGGAACTCTGATCAGTTTCAAACTGCATTTGTTATTACCTTACATTTCTCTTTGACTCTGCTAAAACGTCTGCACCAGTAGATCTTCAACTACAGAGTCGAATCTCCTCAAAGGTAGATACTCATTTTTTGTACTTATTTTTACATGTGCAAAAAGTTTCATTATTATTATTATTATTGATTTATAAATCATTTAAAAATGTATTTCTGCTGTTGTGTTACTGTTCCGTCTCCCACAGAAACTGAAAAAAATGAAAACGATTTTATTTTTATCCAATCATTTCACACTCACCCCACGCCAACGAGTTAATCCATACAAAAGTATTATTCACACACTCATACACACACAGGTATTATATACTCACGCAGTATGCGTTGGACTTCAACCCATCACTTTTGTACAATGTGTCTAAACCTCTGGCACTACTGCCACGGCGTCCACCAATTACACAGCGTCATCACGATGCTCTCCTGCTATAGAAGGACATACAGCACGTATACGTGCTTCTTTACTTAAGAGCAGAAGTTCCAAATCAAAAACTCTCCTAATTAGTCGGATTTCAGCAGAACGTGTCATCAGACTGTCAGAGGCCTCCGCACTTTAAACACGTTTCGCTAAGGTTTAAGACGTCTGCTACAAGGAGACTCCTCTTATTACAGTGACAGCTTGTTGCCGATGAAGCTCTGAAACGCAGGGCGCCATCCCATAATAATTCACCTGTGTGAAAGAGATGAGAAGCTTTACAACCTGCTACAAAACGTGTGCATTTGCATTATTCACCCGGTGTCGGACTCAGAGGTCGGACAGTGGCCGGAGATCAACATATGGGACCCCACGTCTGTAGCTGAGGTCTAATGGGGTCTAAAGGGGGGGGGGGTCAATTATCATTCACCTTGGCTTTGGTTCTTGTTTGTTGAACTTGACACGGTGAAAAAAGGCCTTAATGTAGTTCATGTTCCACATTCATNCACTCTGTCCAGGTTCATGGTGAAAACCACCTTTTTTTTAAACTATACATGCATATTAATGCTATCCAACTGCTGTTGGTGTAAAACAGTGTGTCCTTAAGGCTGGTCCTTTGCTACAACAAGAACGATGGTTCATGGATGGACCAGTTAGATCCTGGTCTCTGCTGATGTTTTCCACGGCAGAAACAGAAACAAAAAATATGGTGAAAAAGTGATAAAAAGTTACTTTTCTGTCTAAAACTTCAGCACACACACTTGGAGCCGGTTAAATGCAGAACAACATAGACACTTCATATCAGAAATGATGAGAAATTCTTATGAATTTGTCTCTTCTGTGTTTGCTGTATCAGAAAAATGTGTTTAATTTAGAAATTAGAAAGTGGTGTTGACACACACTCCCACACAAGCCCTTACAGCGAGGCCACCGCTCATTTAGTCGTGCAGTAGGTCTCACTTCCAGAGACCTGTCAGGAGCTGGATCCTGGTTTACAGGTAATCCATATTTTCTGTCACACTGCACTGAAATGGCTTGGACTAACAACAGGCTCCAGATATACCTCTGTATTGTTAAACCCCAGTGGCATGGAAACTGCATTGATTGAATGTTTCCACTGGGAGTTGTTCAGCCGCACTCTCACCGCTGCAGCGCCACGCGACAGTAAAGTGCGGCTGCAGACGTTTTAATGACTTCTTCAGTAAATTTCATTTGCAATTTTTTTCGTCATCATCCAGAATTTTATTTCCCTAGTTAAAAAGGTAGAACCAGGTAAAAGCAGAGGAAAGACAGGCCCGTGTCTCTGCAATATTTTAGAAATATGTTTCACTGCGGGCTCCATCATTTTCATTTCCAACTCGGCCATAATTACAGACACTAGTTCGTCCTGGATGGTATAAAAGAGAGAGACAGTCATTACGGAGGAATTAAAACTGGACCACTTCAACACAGTGAGACATTTTTGGATTTTTAAGTCCAAAAATGTATTTTATGTTTCATTAGAGAAAAAGCAAAAAAAGTTGCCATAGATGGTTTTTAGCACTTGTTTTTTATCACTGCAGTAAAAAGATTTATTCATTCAGTTTCTGAAAACAACCTCCTCTTCAATCTTGAGTTCTCCGACCTTAACCATTGCAAATATATTCCCAGTCTTAATCCTTGCCCTGACTCTAATCTGACTCAAATTCTAATCTTATCTTTTAAACCTCAAAGAACCCTCCTATGTGGGACACGAAAAATGTCCTCAACCATAAAGGTGTCTTTCCATAGAAATAACAACGATGAGTTCAGTGTTAGCTCGTGTAATTTAACCTCAATCTAATACGGTTTAATCTAATGAAAACTAATCAAATGTCATTTAATCACATTTAATCTAATGCAGTCTAATTTAATCTATGTAAATTTAACCTATGTAAATTAATCTACTCACTTGAACAACTGAAAGTAAAATATATATTTGACTATACATTGCAATACATTTGTTACTGAACATTCTACCTTATCTAATCTAATCTAATCTGATCTAAACTAAGATAATAATTTGGTTATAAACTGTGTTTAGATAGATAGATTAGAGTC